GAGAGAGAGAGAGAGAGAGAGAGAGAGAGAGAGAGAGAGATAGGACTTCCTCCCCGTTCGCAAAGTGAAGTCACTTCCCAAAATTAGCTGAAAAAAAGTTTCATCCGGTTAACTGTCTCTTTTTCGCTCCGCTACAACAACAAACGTGCACAGGGGAGCGAGGGCAGGGCGCTCACAGGGGGCACTCAGGGAGGGCCCAGGGCGCCAGGGAGGCCGCGCCGGGCTAATCTGAAGGGGCTGCGAGGTCAGGCTGTAACCGGGTCAATGTGTGGAATATTGGGGGGCTCGGCTGCAGACTTGGCCAAATGGACGGGACTATTAAGGTAAGTGGCGGGGCAGTGGGTGCCGGGCGGCGGGGCCCAGCAGCGCGGTGGGGCGGCAGGCAGGCTGGGCGCAGGGCTCCGGGGTCCCGGAAGACGTGGCTTCTCTCCCTTCCTTCCGCGCCCCCGTTTCGCGCGGTCTCCTCCACTGCTCGGATTGTCAGTCCCACTTTCGGGGAGGCCGGCCAGGCTCCCCACGGAGGGCGATCTCCCCACATTCCCTCTGCTAAAGGGAGTCCGGCCCCCTCCTGCCACTCTGCCAGCGGGTCTGCAGGAGCGGGCGGCGGCTTAAAAGCTGGAGACCCCGGGCGCGGATCAGAGTCAGGGGCGGGAGACCTTCGGGTCTACCATTTCCACCCGGCAACTAGGGCGCCCTGGCTGCGGCGCAGGGCTCTGGCGGCCAGCTTCCTCTCGCCAGAGGCCGAAAGCGGCGGGGGCAGGGGCAGTGGCAACAGCCGTCTCACTCCGGTCCCTGCCTGATGGGCCCCGGAGCGACTAAGTGGATTAGTAGCAGGCGGATGTGGGTGCAAGGGAGTGTGTCCGAGGGTCTGCCTGAGCGGGCTCTTCCTGATGGAAACCCCTGTTTACATGTCAGCGGAGATTGGTTTCCTTTCCCTCTCGCTACTTGTTGCCCAGTTCTCAGCACTCGGCTAGCCGGCTCTCCGGGACTAACGGTCCGGCCTCGCCGCTTCTCGGGCAAGGAATCTCCATCTCCAACCTTGGTCCGCTCAGCTCCTCTGTACCCAGTGCCTTAATCCTTGGCGCCCCGGCATGCGTCAGCTTCAGGGGACGGGTTCCGGGAGCTGTCTTCTCAGCGAGAGTCCCTCGCCCTTCAGAGACATCCCCCGGCGGTGGTGGCGGGTTCAGAGCCCGCGGTCCTGGCGCCTGCCTTGTCAATCCCAACCTCATCAGCGCCGCCACGCCTGGGTCTAGGTTGCAAAGTGCAGCCTGAGAAACTAGTGAGGGTCTTAAGGAGAGTTCACTGCTTGCTCCCTCTGAAAGGGGGAAGTGGACCAGGAACGGAGAGGAGGGACACCCCCTAACGCGACTGGCCTTAGAAAACCTAGGGGAATGAATGGGACCAGAAGTTAGCTTCCAGGCTGCCATGTAATACCAAGCAGGCGTTTGTCTGGAAAAACTATTAGGCTGGTGAGGTGAGGAGTGGCAGAGCCCGCCATTCCCCAGGACCCAAAGGAAACAACTCTGCTCAGGGCTGAGTGAGAGGAGGCTAAGGTGTTGGACTTAGAGAATTCAAGAGATTTTTATCATCTGGGTGGGGTCGTCGCGGTTTAATTTTCTAGGTTTTTTTTTTTTTTTCTGAAAGTTTGAAAATGCTGACTTAGGTGAAAGACACCAACCAACTGAAGGAACTTGAAAATCTGTAGATGAGAAAACTGATTGTAATGGGTTAAAGGGAGCCTTTAAGAGTCTCTGGGTTCCTCAAACTAAAAGTGAGTGGGTGAGAGAGGTTACAGTACAGACCTGGGAGTAGGGTCACTGGGTCAATTGTACACCTATTTCTCTGTTTCCTTTTGGTGCATGCATGCAAGTGTCCGAATCCCTGAATTCTGTAATGAGATGTTTCATTCTAGACAACCCCCCTAAATTGAAACACTTAACCACTTACCTCAGCGATGCCCCTCTGATAGAGAAGAGTGGTAAGATGGCTCCAGGGTCTTGATGTGGACACCCTAAGGAGAAGTGAAGAAATATCTTCACAGTGCTCAGAACTCTAAGCAAAGGCCCTGAGCAAGGGGAGGAAGCTGTGGTTTGTGTACCCAGGATGTGCTAACCTCTTTAGATACACACTTAGGGATTGGCATGGCAGTTAGTGAGAACAGCCCTAGACAAGGAACCTGGCATTTCATGCCAAAGATGAGAGGGAAGGTCTCTTTTAGGGTACATGGTGGGAGACCCTGAGCCACTCCAAACCCTTTCCATGACCAACCACCCTTATCTCTCAGCCAGGTTACCTGGCTACAGAGTAACCCATAGAGCAGTGGCTTGTCCAGCTGTCTTCAGTCCCCAAGGTTTGGAAGGATTGAGTCCTTAGTGAATAGTTTGATATTTTGGTTATGTGTAAGCCACAGGTTCCTGTTCACATGTGACATTCGAATCTTGGGGTTCCAAGGATCCCACTCCCATGATGGTTTAGTACTGAGCTTGGAGAAGAGTGAACTGGGAGAGAAGCCAACCAATTCTGCTCTTATGTGAGAATGCACAATCTGTTAAACCTCTTTGAGCTTCATAATCTTTGTAAAAACAAAACAGTGGGACTGCAGTACCTCTGCAATAGGATCTTTCCAAGTTTTTCTATGCCTAGAATATTTTGCTCATTTACTAATACTTATCTGTATGTTCACTAAGTCCTGTGCTAAACTAGCAGGTCTAAAGACACTACAGAGCAGATCTAATTTGTAGACACTAACCCAGCATGTGGGTTTGCAGTTTGAGTGGCTTGAAAAAATCAGCTTTGAGTGATTCTGGGATGTGACTTTATGCACCTGCATATTTCTTCCTCAAACATAAGGCATGTGTATATTTAAAAATGCCTGTGGGTCTCAGCACTCTGGAGGTATTTGATCTAGGATGCCAGGACAGTCTGGATTTCTTCACACACACACACACACACACAAAAAAAAAACCCTTATTTTGTGCATAATTTGCACAACTCCATGGGATTATAAATTCCCAATCACACTGCACTTGTTGCAAATCCTTTTGTATTATGTTCACTTGTCTTTCAAGAATATCTCCTGGGAAGGCTTTGAGTATCATATTGGGAACACTAAATTTTGTTACTCTTCTTTTGCCACAGTCAAGGTAACCTGTCATACTAAACAACACCCTACCCCACCCCTGTTCCCCACAGTGATATGATCAGTGTTGAAAAGCACGTGGTACTGCTTGCTGCTTGAAGAAATGACCTGGTTTTTAAAACTGCCTCTTAGTTCTAGGCAGGCTTCAGTTGAATCCAATTAATTTCATCCATGGAAACTTAAATGCATATGGTATCATCAAAGATGTGGATATAATCAGAAAAGAGGTAGACATGATGAATGAAATTGTGAAGCAGGAAAGGAAGAGTAGACTTGGAGTTTAAAAACCTGAGTTCTTTCTCAGTTCTACTGCTTAGTTTCTAGGTGCCTTATAACAAGGAACTTAGCTCTTTGGGTCTCAGTTTTCTTATCTATAAAATGGGGCCAAAGTGCCTCCTCACACAAGTCACAGTAAGGATGAAATAAAATCTGCTACCTTAGCTGGATACACATTAGTTCAGCTTCTCCTTTGGATTATGGTTTGTGTGGATCTATTGGTCAGAATATTAGATCACAGATCTGGATTAACCAAAATAATGTTTCATTAATTCAATAGATACTTTTGATGTGACTCTTAGGTTCCAAGGCTCTGTTTTATGTATTGTGGATCAAAACTGTCTGGGAGTTTACACCTGAGTGGAGGTGATGGATACACACAGAAATAGATTTATGTCTGGACGTTATATATTTTCTGGAGAGCCATAAAAGCAGGTTAGGGGCATAGAAAACGATGGAATGGTACCAGCTAGGATGGTCAAAGAGATTGCCTCTAACAGTCCCAGCTGAGCAGAGGTATTATCTGTTCTCATCTTCTATCTCAGAAAGTCATAGCACCACACAATCAGTAAATGATGGGAAAGTAAACTGGGCCAGAAAGGCCGGGTCACCAATGGGCTGTGTGTGCCAGAGAAGAGTCTGCCTCAGATATGCTTGGGAGGGAAATTTAAGGAGAAGTTCTGGGGAAGAAGCAGACAAGTGAAGAATACATAGGCACAGACTTGTTCCTGTCCTCAAGGAGGGGGTGCTGCCTTCCACCTCACCCCCACCTTTTAACCTTCATGTTATCTAGATTGGAGAGCACTCCAGGCAAGATTTGGCCAGTTTCTCTATTCCTATGACCCATCCCCCAAGATAATTACCAAATGGTGAATTCTGGTTTTTTTTTTGTGTGTGTGAATAACTTCCACTAAAAAGTTTCCTTCTACTCTCATTACTATTCTAATTCAAGTTCACCGGCTTGCAACTTTAGAACTTTAGGGCATATTTAGCCAGACAGTCTCATTTTATGGGTGGGAAAGCTGAGGCCTGGAGTGTTAAATGAAATGTCCAGAATTAGAGAGTTAACCTATTACAGAGAAAGGGTGAGATTTCAGGCCTTCTGACCCATTGGGCAGTGTCCTTTCCACAATACCATGATGGTATCATTTGATTTTGTTATATTATTGTGAATTTTATAATTCTGGAGGCAGGATATGTGTGTGAGAGAGAGAGAGAAAGAGAAGACTTTAAAAGAGAAATCATGAAGAATCTGGCATTTGAACTAAAGATGCTTCTGTTAATGAAAAATGCATTAGTATAATCTCAAATTATCTCCATACTTCAAAAAAAATTCCAAAGTTTCAGATAAGATTTATAGAACTGTTTTCCAAAATAAATGCTTTTTTTTAAATTATTATTTTGGGCAAAGCAAACAAAGTCTTCATTACCAGGGAACAACCCAAAATATAATATTTTATTTAAATAATCAATAGACCCCTTTACCCAACATGGACAGGTAGACTGAATCTTTTTTAAAAAAACTTTTAATAATTGAATATTTGAATTTTAAATAAAATATATTTAATTGTACTAGGATGTATCTTATGGATCCATTTTCAAGACTGTGTAGTAAAAATACCTTGGATAACAATCACATTAGATAAAATATAGGATTTCAATGTCTCCCTTTGTTTGGGATTAATAGTTTCTTATTATTTGTTTTAAAAGTAGGCTAATTTAAACCATCTTTTAAAAAATTATGGTTTTAAAAGGTGACTGATTTAAGCCTTTTTTCTTTTTAGAAACAGAATAATCTAATGCCCTCCCCACAAGTTTGAAAAATATTAATATTATTGAGCTACCATATGGGATTTCTAGTGGATGGGGTATATATTCTACCTCAAATTTCATAACATATCTCCAGATTAAAAACTCACTAAATCTGAAACTTGATGTGTAGGTTTTTAGATTAGAATGGAAAACGTACTATTTTCTTAGTTGAATAATACAGGTACAGAACAATGTTTGTTTTGGATAACGTGAATTGCCATAGGACAACATCTATTTGGAAAAGTAAATATTTACACAAATTTGATAATAATTCTTATTCTTATTTTAATTCTTTTGGAAGATTGCACTTAAAACAATCTTTCTAAATCTATCTTTTTTCTTATTGTTTTGTAACAAATTGAGTAGACTAAAGTACATTGGCCATTATGTGCGTACACACACACACACACACACACATCTCATAAAGCCTTGAACTAGCCCTAATCTCAAAGCTATGCAGGTGTCTCTTCCTCTGCAGAAGACTACACCCTGTTTCATTTTCTATTGTTTTAATGATTTCATATCTATAGTGTTTATCCCATTTATGTATTGATTCATCAAAAGGATGGATTACCAAGTGATATCACTCTTTTGCATATTATAATTCTGCTACTGATCTGATGAACTCACCAGTATCCTGTTGAGGTATTTTGCCAGAGGCATTCACTGATTCCCATACTGTCACCTATAGGGCCAATATCTGTGAAGTTTGGTGGAATGAGTCTATTTATGAAATAACCCTTTTCGGTGCAAAATGAGCTGGTCTTAGAGGTATCTGTAACCCCAGCTTCATGGGCAACATAAACTGACAAACCATATTAATGTAATTGCATGATTGTTATTCAGAAACTAAACTAGGTGACTACATTCTATGAGTGGAGGATACTAGCAGCCAATAGGCTGCTGCCTGGGAGACCTAGCCAGTGGGTAAACTGTGCATGTGTGCCCACAGGGTGCAGTGGTGCTATGATAGTCCTGAGGAAGAAAAAAGCAATTACAGCTGAAGAGACAGGGAAAGACCTAATGATAGCAGTTCTTCATGTAGTTTCTTACTGTGTGCAGAGCACTTTCATGGGCACTCATGCATCTCATCCCTGCAACAGCCCTGAGGGAGGTCATATAACCACATCTCCCTTTTATATGGAAGAAATGAAAGTTCAGAGAGTGTGAGGCAACTTGCCCAAGATTATTGCTAAGAGATGAAAGAGCTGGGTTTCAAGCCCCATGCTTCTGATTGCAGAACACCTGCTTTTTCTCCACACACCAGCCACACTCCTCTTGGCTTAGGTGGATCTGGACCTGGGGCTTTGAGGTATGCATACACAGAAAGATATGGTCAAGGGCTTTCTAAGAAGAGTGGAATATTTAGGGTGGGATTCAAGGAGAAAGTGAGATTGGAAAGACTAGATAAAACTAGATTATAGAGGACCTTAAAAACCATAACTAATGATTTGGGTCTTATAAAATATATAAAAAGAATGAATGAAAACATTTTGAATAGAGGCATAATCTACATAGCTGTAGATCCTTAGTACCTGAATCTTTCCTACTCTTGTCCTCCCCCTTAGGAAATAGAGATGGGGGTGGATCCATTACTTATGGAATCCATATGAGAAGTGACTAGCCATCAGGATTAGAAAACCAGTGATAGGTTCAGACAACCAGAAATGTCATCAGTGCTCTTTAGAGACACCTGTTTATTAAATATGACATGCAGGGAGGGAGGAGAAATCCTATTTCACTAGCTCTAATAAAACTGTGGTTACCATTTTTGCCCCTTCAAATGTGTCTTCTTTCCCAGGGATCTGGGGATCTTATTCAG